TGTGTTGGGTAACGGGATGGATGGCAGGCAGTCAAATCAGGCAGGGCTGAGCCGCAGGCGAACAAAAGAAGGCGGACTCATCGGCGGCACATTCGAGGGAAAAAGTAGTCTGCGGTTGCGCAGTCAACTTCATCTCGAGCCGTCGATTTCTGGTGGCTGAGATTTTTAGGCAACGCCCTTCGACTGATTAAAAATGTCAGCTCGGTCCACATGCTCGGTGCTTTCTGCCCTTTCCAGAAATCAAATAAAAGCCACTGACATGTCAGATTTGATGTGCCGTGTATTTTGTTTTTTGCTGCACAACTTTGCGTGGTGAATAATATTAATCATCTCCCTGCTTGTTCCTTCCATCTTTTCTCAGACTAACTGCAACAATGAGCGACAAGCCCGACCTTGCAGAGGTGGAGAAGTTCGACAAGTCCAAGCTGAAGAAGACAGAGACGCAGGAGAAGAATCCCCTGCCTACAAAAGAAAGTTGGTGTCCTCGTTTCTTCTGGATTCCTCTTTTTTTGCACGATTCTTTTCCTATCATTCCTTACCCCTCCTCCTTTCCTCTCTCCTCTCCTTCACAGCCATCGAACAGGAGAAGCAGGCGACGTCGTGAAGCCCCCACCTCCCGTCATGCACTGTACACCCCTCACCCCTCCTCCTGCATTGCCTTGTTTTCAGTCACTTCTTTTTAGCTGTATAACTCTGTAACCGAAATTATGAAACGATAACCAAGCTGCACAGCCTGTGGATGGATGATGCCTTCGCCAGAGCGCCCACCCCGACCCCCACCCCTTTACTACTGTCACCTTTAACCACCGTCATGCTCGTCCTTCCGCCAGGGAAGAGATGAGGAAGATTTCTCTGAGGCAGAGAGGGAAGGGAGGGGACTGCAGAAGATGGTCCGTGAATGTGCACGTCTCTCCTTTTAACACCGCCTTGACCACCAAGATCGACGTGCAGTGTCAAGAGGGCGAGAGGCCTGAGGGATGGGGCGTGGCCTGCGTCCCAGGAAGCTCATCACCGTCTCACCAAAACCCACCAACCACCACCCAACTTTCTGTGTGGCTGCTTTTGCGCCAAAGCTGAGGCGTCAAGCTTTTTTGGTTTTGTTTTTGTTGTTTTTCTAATTTTCGGAAATGCACAACTTCGTCTGTACGCTGGCCAAAATGTACCCCCCCCCACAACCTGGAAAAAGAAACTGATACTGTTGTTTCAGTGTTTTCTTTTTTTCTTTTGTATGTACACAAGGATTTAAGAAAGTGTAAC